CAAATTCTGGCACCTCCAAAAGAAACTAGACTTCTACATACAAAAAAAGCCTTTCCCACAGTGGCTTCCACAGTGGCTGGGAGAATATTGTGAAGAGCTAGGCTAAAAGCTAGACTCCTGAGCCAGGCTGTAAAACATACCAATAAATATCCTTCGCCCGGTGTGGCAGCGAGAGGATTGCCAGAAGCTACAGTATAGGCTAAGCGCTACGCTAAAAAACATACAAAGAAAGGTCATTTCCCCCAGTATGGCTGGGAAAGCATTGTGAAGAGCTAGGCGTAACCCTAACCCTAACCCTAAAGGAGGCGTCCTGCGCTAGGCTAAAAAACAAACGAAAAGATTATTTGCCCAGTATGGCTTGGAGAGGATCCTAAATAGCTAGGCTACAAGTAAGACTTCTTCGCTAGGGTAAATAATATACAAAATCCGGGCCTCTGCGTAGTGTTCCAGGAAAAACGGTTGTAAAGCATTTTTCTGTATGACTTAAGCTGTTGGGATTTTATTGCTATAAACAAAAGACATCTTAAAATTCCCTGAATTTCATTCACATTTTTCCAATAGACATTTTACCTACCTTTTTTTAAAAAGCTATTTTGTTTTTTATCATTTAATTTTTTTCAACAATGCCTTGATTTTTACTCATTTTTTATTACTATTTTTTTGTATCTTTTCCCTATTTCTATTGCAGTCGGCACCATGGGCATTTAGAAAATGTGGCGCTATGTAAATAAAATTATTACTATAAGAACATAGAAACGGACCGTTACAGGTCAACACATTTTTTGTTATTTATACTATCATCCATTTTTGTAGTAAACGGTGGTTATTCAGATTGGGGACCGTACGGTAGATGCTCGAAGACTTGTGGGGGTGGACAACAGACGCGTAAAAGAACGTGTACCAATCCACCACCATCACATGGTGGAGAAGACTGCAGTGCACTGGGACCCGACAGTTCTACCAGGGAATGCAACAATCAGCGGTGTCCAGGTAAAATTGGCGAATAGCAACTGATAAATTCCATAAGGCCTAGGTGACGACCGCCGACCCTGTCTCACTCATCCCGCGAAGAAAGTAAGGACGACAATTCCACTGAAGTTAGCACATCTTTGGAGTTTTTAAAGTTAACTGCTGACCACCTACCGGCTTTTAAATTGCATCGCGGGCTCAAAACAGTTTAACTTACTGTAATCATGGCTGGGTGATTCGGAACTGATCCGGTTAAAGCNTGCTTTTAGCCTTGGCTAAATCTGTATACTATTTACCGTTATTGAGCCAGATATGACTAGCTTCCCATTGAGTAACACTGCCAAACTGTAAAATTCCAGAACACACACTAAAACATCCATTACTGAAAGAAACCTACCGTGCAATAAGGTGTTTTTCTAGATAACGGTGGGTACGCAAGCTATCGGTAAAAAATGAGCAGTTTTAACAAATTGACGTCAGATTTTATGGGTATGTCCTCTTATTGATGATATATTACGTCATAACATCGTCAAAGTGGCTGTGGAACCATTGCCTGCGGCTCGTGGTTCCGCAGTAAACTTTGAGAATGTTATGACGAAGAGGACAGACGCATAAAAAACTGACGTTAATTTGTTTTTTACAATAAAAAGACCCCAAAATGGTCAAATGCTGGGAATAAATGTGGAGAAAGACACCGTAAACTTCACTTAAACAAAGATAAGTGAAGTTTATTCAAAATGACACGAACATTGTCAATAGCTCTTCTTCTTGCTTTTTACTGGCTACATGTACTTAAAAAAGTCCATAAAATCTCATTGGTTAAAAAGTT